TCCAGAACCATATTCTTTGTTTCTTTTAACTTTTTAAAAAGTGTTCTTGAATTCTGTTCCTTTCCTATAAGATCCAGTCTTTGACTTAATGTGTTCACCCAGGCATTTTCTGTACCTTTGCAGTATTATATTCTGAAGTTATAGTGTACCAGTATGTCTGCATACTATCTGGCCTGTTGTCTTGTAAGCTCTTTAGTCATTATAAAGTATTGCAGGTTGTTGTGATCTGAGATGATTTCTGTCTGGTGTTGATTTTCTTGCAGTTTGATTTTCCATTTTTTCAGTGATGCCACTATTGCAAGTAGTTTCTTGTCATGAATATTGTAGTTCTGTTTGGCTGGTGTTATTATTCTTGCATAGCACACAACTAATTATAGTCTTTCTTGTTCATCTGGTTATTGTAGTCTTCCTGCTATTGCACAATCTAATACATCCATGTCAATTACATATCTTCTTGTTAAGTCATAGTGTTGTCTCATTTCTTCTTTTCTGAACTTGTTTTTTATTGCTTCAAATGCTTGTTGATACTCTATTGTCTATTTGAACACTTTATCTTTCTTGAATAGCTGTATGAGTGGTCTCACTTTCTTCAAAAATTCATGTATGAACTATCAGTAGTAATTTGCTAGTCTGTAGAACATCTGAACTTCTTTGACTTCTTTTGGTGTCAGTTATTGTAGTATTTTATTAATTTTTCCTGGCTCCATTTGTATTCCTTCTGTTAACATGATGTGTTCAAGATATCTGATTTTCTTCTTGAAGAAGTCACACTTCTTTAGTTTTGCTGGTAGATTGTATTTTTATAGTTTTTCTAGTACTTTCTTGACTTTTCCAGTGTGATTCTTTTGGTCTTCTTTGGTGAATATAACCACATCATCAAGGTATGCAATGACAAAGTCATCTAGATATTCTTATAGTACATTGTTGATGAGTGCTTGAAATGTTGCTAGTGCATTTGTTAATTCAAACAGCATGATGTTGTACTTGTATAGTCTGTATTATGTTCTGAACACTGTTTTTCATTCATCATCTTCTTTGATTTGTATCTGATGGTAGGCATTTTTGATGTCAATTAGAGTAAACCATGTTACTCCCCTCAATCTGTCTTGCACTTCTTTGATCAGTGGTATCAGATAGCAGTTCTTGACTGTAATGCTGTTCAACTGTCTATAATCTACACATAGTTGTAGGGTTCCATTCTTCTTTGGTGCAAACAGTATTGAATATCCTGCCAGTGATGTTAACTTTCTGATGTAATCTTTCTTGAGATTATTCTTGATATATTTCTTCACTTCAGCTGATTCTTTCTTGTTCAACCTGTATATTAGCAATTTCACTGGTTGTTTTCCATCTTGTAGTTTTATCTTGTAGTTCCAGGGTTCATGCTTTGGTAGACTGCTGCTCTGATCTCTTTTCCTGAATATATTAATGTATTTCCAGAATTCTTCTAGTAGAGTTTTCTTGATCTTTTCATCCTGGTCATTCTTTTGTACTTGCAGCTGCTCTGAGTCATTAGAGTTCTTTGTGGCTTGATTTACTTTGTTGTCATGAGTTGGGTTTTCATGAATTTCTTCTGTATTGATTAATCATTCTCTATACAGTATCTTTCTGTTGACCTGACTTATTACAGCCAGTATCTCATCTAAGTCATTTCTGAGTGTAAGTCTCTGATTGTGATATACTGGTTTGAGAGAGCATCTATAGTTCATCAGTCTAGTCTTTTCTTCTCACCAGTCAATTTCTGGATTGTGTTATTTCAATCAAGAGTATCTCAAGACTATATTATAGTCTTCTAGATTTATTACTTCAAAACACACTTTCTTATGATGTTGTTCTATTCTTATTTCAATAGAATATGTTTTTTCTTCAACTCTGTGCAGAGTTTCTTCTTCCAGTCCTGATAACTGGTAGGGGTATTTTTTCATTCACTTTATAATGTCAGCTTGTTTGGTGAATCTTCTATCAATAAATAGTCCAGTTGCTTCTGAGTCCACTAAGACTGTTGTGTGCTTTAATTCAAGTAAGATTGCTATAACTCTGAGATGACAGATTTGTTTGTTGGTGGCTAACAGTTTTGCTTGCCTATTCATGCTGCTTACAGGCTCTTATTTGTAGCAGTCCACTCATTTTCCAAATTAATAAGAATTATCTTAGATGCCTATTTGTGTATTGTGTAATTTTCTTTATTGATACACCAGATCTTGTGTATTCTTTACATGTACTTGTTGTCTTTGCATTCTGCACAGGTTTCACATTCTTCTAAATCATGCAGGAATCTTGCCATTTTCCAAAATCTTTTACTTTTATGGAATTTGCATTAGCATTTGTACTCAAATTTATTGTAACAAGAGTGGTCTGGTTTTTTCATCTCTTTCTGTTTTTCACTCCAGTGTTATTCACATGTTATTATTACTAATAATTCATTGTTTTCTTCATATGTTGTCCAGTGCACTTAATTATCTTAGATTCATAATGTTCTTGCTGTTAGGCATTTTTTCTCTTCAGGTGTCATGCTTTTCATGAGACTGAGTTTCTTCAAGATATCTTCTTTGTGTTTCTCAAATTCTAGTATTTTCCAGCTTAACTCTTTTTTCAATTTCAGTATGGGTTTTTCTTTCTTGTCTGACCAATATTCTTCATTATTGCTGTTGTCTTGCTTCTGGATTGCTTGCAGCTTTCTTGATGATTGTAGATAATATCTGCTATCTTTTTCATCTTAATAAATAGAGCAATTGTCTTTGTAACAAAAGCTCTAATGAATTCTGGTGTAGTCTGAATATTTCATATATAAGATATTCTGTAAATCTGGCATCTTTCATTCTTTCTTCTCAGTGTCACATCTGTAACACTGGCAATTTTTGATGTTGCAGCTATAATCTCTGTAATACATAAAGTCTTTCATAATTCATGTCTATTGTTCAAACTCTTCTTGTTGTTTCTGGTGAAGTTCACATAAACATTTATAGATTAAGTATTAAGCATGTTTCTTGTGTTTTGGATCTTGAATTTCATTCATTTTTTGTCTGTAATAATATTTGCAGTCAAGTGGTTGAATTCCCCAATTATCACTTAATTCATCTCTTGTTTTCATGCATAGTTCTTTACATAACTCTTATTTTTCATCATCCAGCTTGTTTTGATATTTCAGTTTATCTTACAGCTGCTGGAGTAGTTTCAGGTAAGCTTTCATAACTTGTTCTTCAAATATTTTCCTGAACTGTTGTTGAAGTTTTTCTTTAGTTTGCTCTTTCTAAGTTGTCACTCAGAAATGCTGTTTTATTTCAGAGTCTTCTTTATTTTCTTTTAAGATTGTTCTGAGTTTTTTGTCTTTTTGATCTGTCTTTTTTGCTCTATATTGTCTTGCTTGATGTTCTAACTTGATACAATAAAAGCATAGTTTTTTCTTTTTTCTTTATTCTTTCTCTTTCTCATCAAGAGTGTCAAACTTTATCACATTCAGCTTCATAGGTGTGTATTTATAAGAATTCAGTTGTACTTGCTTGTTCCAGCCTCAATTTTCTATGTAATTTAACAGGCTGGCTCTCTTCTATAGTGCTTTTCCTTATTTTTCCATCTTTTATTTGTAAAGTCAGTTTCTAATTCTGACTGCCACTTCAATCATCTTGATTAGAGTGCATGGTCATTTCTTCAATTACACTATTTCATCTTTAATCTCATCAAATAGTTCTTGATAGAAGATGTTGGCTAAGGCTTCATTATTCTAATCAGTATTAATACAGACTTGCTGGAATCTCATGGTGTAGTCTTGTAGTGATATCTTTTATTGTATGTGATATAACTGCTGGGCTGCTGCATTCCATTTCTCAACTTTTTTAAAAGTGGTTTTCAATATCTGAATAAAGGTATTGTAGCTGTTAATGATCTTGAGCATGTCATTGTTCTGATTGACTTTGTCTTTTTTGTAATAATTTTATAGATAGGCATCAAACCAATTGAATGCTGCTCTGTAAAGATATAATACTGCCATTATTATCTTGTTCTTGTTACTGTTAAGTTCTTTGCCTTTCATATTCATATAGATGTGTAGTTGTTTCAAGAAAGCTTATAATTTTTCTTATTTACTCTTGAAGAATTCTGGTGGATTGACTTTAGCTTTGTCTTTCTTTTTCTGTTGTCCAGTGGATGGGATGGCCATGATTTGAATCTCAAGTTGCTTATTATAATCTTTCAATTCACAGTTCTGCTCTTCAAGTTTCTCAGTAATCTGTTCAAGCTGCAAGATTCTATTTATAAGATCTTAAGCATTGATAGCTGGTGCTTTAAATGCAGACATAGTTTCTATATTTCATTAGATTTTGATATGGGGTGGAATTGTATCTTTATCTTTTAATGTGATGTAGAAAGTTCTTTCTTTGTACATAATCTCTGAAATCTCAGGTGTATTCTCTTCTGGGTCAAAAGTGATTAATGTGTTATGTATTCATGTGACACTCTTGAATCTTTGGGGGTCAAGAGGTATTACAGTAAGTAATAACAAATTGAAGTAGTGATTAATAGTTTAATGATGCTTTGATTAAGCTGGCAGTCTTGCTCTAATGACAAAGGGTTTCCATGCAGGTGTAACAGAGTCAGAGCAAGACTATAGGGCCTTCTCAAGAGTAGCAGGATCAGGTACAGTTATACAGTATTACAGAACTTCAGTAGTATAGAAAGTAATCAAGATATGAAAGTATCTGATTCAAAGGTATCTAGTAGATTGGTAAGAAGATTGATTACAATGAACAAGTTCATCAGATTTCTGGTAATAAGCATTCTTATATACATGATGCTTTTCTGATGATACTTGTGATACTTTCTTCTAGATTGCTTATATTATAGTATCACAATACATAATACTCTCTCTCTTATATCTTGTCTTACTTGTATCACTTTCTGGTCACATGACTTCCCATCTTAAGGTTTCTCCACAACAATTTATGACTCTGTCTTGTCAGGTTTCATCCAATTGTTCTGTGTCTTTGGCTGCCGTGCCACAAGTTTCATAATACTGATATAGTAATGATGGGATCAGAGTCTTTCTTCTCTTGATAAGTTGCTTTGAAGACATTCTTGATTAAAGCCTTCAACCAGTCAATCAAATGATTCACTAGCTCTTTAAGTAATTGATGAAGAATGTTAATCATTATAATATTGTGAACATTTATCAATGGATGGTGCCATACAAAGTTTGAAACAGTATGAACCCACATTTCTTTAATTCTTATTGGAATTTCATCAAGTCTTCTGGTTATTATTGCATTCTGCTGGTTCTGAAGCATTGCCAGTGTGTATTTATGGGTTCTCATTGGCCAGAATTCTGTCAGATTCTCTCATGCATTAGGTAGAACAGTACAAATGGTGCAGTGTCTACTATTTTTAACTTTAGTTATCAATACTTGTTCTTCATAGTTGGCTATTATTCTGGTAAGAATAGGAAAACAGTTTTGAACTCATCCATCAGCATATTTGATCATGAAGTCTGTTTTATACAAGTGTTCAAGTGCTAATTAACTTCATCAACTGTCAGTCAATTTTGCCAACAGATTCAGCATATATCTAGTTGTATGGCTAGATTATATGTTATGATGACAGGAACCTGTAGTGCTTTAAAGTAAGACTTATGCTTCAGTATAATTCTTATAGACTTATAATACACTCAGAATTTAAGTTCTCATGATATATTCTTTAGTGATGGAAGAAATTCAACAAGCATTGTACCATTCATGTTATAAGACTGTCTTGCCATATTGCTTAAATTTCCAATTAAGAGATATACAGGCCATGAGTTCAAGTCTTTATATTAATTGGTAAGCTGCATTTTGTCTGTTGCAATCAACACTGGTACTACAGTTATGCCATCAGGAAAGTTCTTCTGTATATTTCATCACTAATTTCCAGTATGCATTTCTGTATACACTTAGTTATTACTCTGATTAAAGTGCTGCACTGATTTATATACCAGATGTTTTTGAAATAGTTTATGATCAAGAAGATGTCAAATAACATATTCAACTTTCTGATACTGAAGCTTGTGTGCCTCAAAGTGCAAATCTGATTCTGGCAAGAGAACTGTTACATTCATCTGAACTTAATTTCTTGCAGTATAGTCATGTAAGATCTTAGCAACTTTTGAGAAGAGCTTGTCTGCATTATGAAAACTCAGTTGTGTAGTGATACTGTATAGAGAAGGGCTCTTCAAGAAGTTATTAATATTTTTCTTGCTGAGTTTTGCTCTGAAAAAGAAACTTGCTATTCTATAATTAATCTTACTATAAAATAAATAAAATGAATTGTATTCTTCCAGATATTCAGGATCAGGTTCAATTTGAATATCAACAGATATACCTGCCCTTCAACCTGTTGTGATGGTGTGGGTTGTGAATGTGATAGAAAGCTTGACTAGTGAAACCAGAATATAGAAGTTTGAGCTTCTTTTAATAGTGGATTCTGTATATTCTTTCTTGCCACCAGTCTCAACATTACTTGTAACCAAATCTTCTTGTAATGAAAAGTTGCTAGCTGCTGTACTTTTAAGTGACAAGATTTCTAGCTTATTTATCTTAATATTCTCTTTCCTTATATTAGCCAACCAGTCACTATAGTTGTCATGGACAAAATCCTATTCACCAGTAGAGATTCTAGTAGTGTTGAGGTTGTCAGCATGTTCTTGAATCTCTGAGTCTGTTGGAATGGATGCTGATTCAGTCTGAGAAGACTGGAATTCTTGAAGATAGTCAAGCAATACTTGACATTTTGCATAATGCCTCTCTAATTCACTCAATATGGAGATTTGCTTGCTACAAGCAGCACAATAGTAATAGAAAAACATCATCCAAAAATTTGATTGCTAGTGAATTGTTGCACAATAATAAACACTTCACTTTATACTTGCTCTGACTTTACTTTATGCTTACTTTAGCCTCACTTACAGAGCAGTGTATTTTTACTGTAATATTATAATAATATTTACAAGCTAGTTTATTTTAGGCTTAGCTTGACAGTATTATGTCAGGTATAAATATCTCTTCTCTTCTCTCTTTCACAACTCTCAACATTATATTTAGCTGTACTGCTGCTGCTTCTGCTGCAGAAAAGAAAGTATTACTAGCTTGATTACTTAACAGCAGCATTTAGTAAGTTCTACCAATGTTGTGCTTTCTATAAAAATCTAGCTAATGTTTATGGAGGTTCTGCTATATTAGAACCATTGCAAATAACTGGAGAAATTACACTACTCTATTATTTGTTGCCTTTATAGATACTGAGCATTTGATTGGTGATGCTGTAAAGAATCAAGTTACCATAAACTCTGTAAATACAGACTTTAATGTCAAGTGTCTTATCAGTTATAAATTCAATAATACTGAGATTCAAGCTGACATGAAACACTTTCTCTTCAAGATTATTAATAAGGGTGGCAAGCTCATTATCTTGAATTCAAAGACAAGACCAAATAATTTATACCAGAGAAGATTATCTTCTCTGTCAACAATGCTGGTGTGACTGTGCCAGTCTACTTCAATAACAAAGCAGTTTCCACTGGAGAAGATCTCCTCCATGGTCTTGACTAAGATGGGGAAGATGGCTGAATCTCATCTTGATGGCACTGTTAACAATGCTGGCATGACTGTGCCAGTCTACTTTAACAATTTCCAGTGTCAAGCTACCAAGAATGCCAGTCTCATTGCTGATTTTAACATTTTCTATATTCTGAACAAGCTCAATGTCACCATGATTGTGCATGACTTTGAATTGAAGTTAGTTGCTATAAAGTTTCTTATACTTGCTATTCTGAAATACACATGTAGTATTGAGATGTTGTAATATGATATAGAGATTCTATATTATTTTCTTGTTGCCATGCTTGTCTACTTGATCTACTGAGCTGTTATCTAGCTGTAAGACATAGCATGTATTTTAGGAATGCTGCTGAAGATTTACAGCTTCTACTCTAAATGTGAGAATATTAGATCTCAACATGCTATCTTTCTAGCTGTATGGCACAGAGACATATTGTTTTGGATTTTCTAATTAGGTCAAGGGTCTACACTTTATTTTTTTTGCTATAATCTCTCTTCCAACTCTCTCTTGAACTACTAATCTACACAGTCTTGCCAGCTATTCTACAAGCTTGCCAGCTCTCCAAATCAGTAAAGGTAAGCTCTCTACAGTCATGAATTCCAATCTTGAAAGAGCTTATAAGCTTTCTAACTAGAGATTAGCAATATACAGACTTTCTTGTGAGATTCTCTTTGCAAAAGAAGCTTTGAAGGCACTTTTAACAGGTTGATATAGAGCTTAAGAGAATTACTAGATATTTCTTTTAAACAATTTTATGTGTCACACAGCTAGATTTACTTGACTTCTTGTGACAGATTCCTGCTGTACAGCTAGTATGACTCAATATTTACCATATTATTTCTTCTGTTATACTGACATTCAATGTAGCTTCTATTTGCAAATAGATAATACAGTCCCTACCTCAGTCCTAACTGCTTCAAGCAAGAAAATCAGCACACCAAAACCTTGCAAATCAGTAAAAGCTGAAAACCTTTGCCTGAGCACAATCTCTGGAGTTTATGTTCTTGATGATAGTCAAATTCATGAAAATCAAGTCAAACTTGCAGGATATCTTGGCTTCCTGATGACAGGTACACTACAAGAATAGATGCATTCAGATGATATTGACTACATTTTAACCACATTTTACAAAAAGTACTCCAATTTCTTTGAAAGAACAGGCCCTGCATACAAGACTGAATCTTCTATTTGTATTAATGTAATGAAGAAAATGAAACTTCAAGATATTCAGATCCAGATTTCAGAACTCAGTAATGACTTGAAGAATCTAAAGTCTACAAAAGATGTGTCTGCTGTTGTATTACTGTAAGCTGTTCAGCAGCTTATCAAAAAGTTCCAGAAGAAGTTTACAGAGAATAACTCTGAGAATATATACAGACTGTTGCTTCTATTGAAGTATGTGGTATGAATCAGATCTGCTGATTGCCAGCTTAAACAAGACAAAGATCAAGAGCAAGATGATAAAGCAATAATTCTGAAATATGTGAATCTGAATGCACAGGATTCTTATGCTGCCAAGGCAGGCATGAAAGCTGCAGCTACTGCTGCTATTGGCAAAGACTTTTAGGGGGATATCAAGATTGGCTCTACAGATGATGATATTAATCTTGATGCTGAAGAAGAAAGTTCTGATGATGCTGTTGAAGCTGTAAATAGAATTATTTGTAATACTAGCTCAGATATTCTACTTCTGAATATGGATAAGAAGATGCAAATAGCTTTGCTTGAAGAATTCACTGCCAATGCTGCCGATATTGAAATGCCTATTATGGAAAAGTGTGGATCTGATAATAGGCTGATGGCTGATGTGGAGCATATTGAGTGAATAAAAATAAATGATGATGATAATAATAATGAAGATTTTACAGAAGATTCTGGCAATAAACTCTTTAATCTGAACTGGATGCTTCATATAACCGGAGCAGAGACTTCTGATTACTTAACTGTGTGTTCTTAGTTGAATTTGGACTCCAACAGACCAATGATTTCAAATGTCAGACTGGAGTCTTGGCAAGTCACTGGAGTTGCTTGAAAATTAACTCAGAAGATACCATCAGTTAATAGAGATATTCTTGCAGATGAAGCTGGACTTGAAAAAAACTGTACAGTATTGTGCTTTAATTCTTAAAGTAAAAGAGCAGCAGTTGACAGAACTCTATTATTTCACTTTAATTATCTGTTCAAATAGAGTGATCACTAACTAGGTTGACTAGATTATTTGTTTCTTCTGTAATACTATTTGACTGATTCTTTTTTATGGTGTTCTGAATAGTAGTAGAATCACTAATGAAAGTCTTAAAAAATATATTGTTGATAAAACAATGTTGAAATTCAAATATAACAATCTTGACAAGAATGACCTGACAACAGTCTTGACTGTCATTATCACATTATATTTAACATGGCATCACCAAATGTACCACACCCCTGATGATCTAGCTATACAGCCTGAGACCCCCAAGCCTGCTGTATGACTAGATAAACTCTTTCTTGGTCTGCTTGACTGACCAACCAAAAACTTGTTTCAGCATGTGATACTTGATGAAGGCCATAAGATCAAGAATTCAAGAACATCTGTCTACAGAGCCATCTTCTTAATTTCAAGAAATTATATTTGAATTGTGTCAGTGACTCTGATAATGAACAGAGCTTCTGATTTGTCCAGCTTTTTACAGTTACTCAATAAAGAATTCTTGCATACAAACTTTGATTTTCAAGAGATTGATGAGCCACTAAAAGTCTATAAAAAGGCACCCATGTATAGTATGGATAATTTCCACATTCTTCATCTGTTACTGTACAACCAGCTATTTCAATGTGGCTCAATATTGTCTTATTCTGCAATGCTTGCCTTGTCTTGAATTCTAAACTGTATTCAGCTTTGATGTACTTATGACCACACAATGGATCTTGAAAGTGAATGAGAGATTGTCACTATCAGCAGGAATATCTCTAGTTATACTGTGTGAATAATTGAATGTCAAATGATACAGATCAAACAACTTGTGCAGTATTACTGAGTGCATTCATATCTTGTTACATCACTAAAGAAAGAATCTGCTGGTGATATACAGAAATCTTCTGAGAATGAAAACAATATTAGCAGATGCTTTGATATGACTGTCTATTGATGACTTAGACATGTGTTCTTCTCTTTTATCTTGGAAAATCTATTCATGTTGACAGTTGACAAGCACAAAGGCAATCTTTCTCAAGATATTAACTGAAAATGGCATTTGTTCCAGAAAATTGTCTGGTTGATAAGCAGAATAATTACTGATGCTAATATTTCCTGAATTCCAGCAGACTGTATATGAATCACAGAATTTCTTTTTGCCACAACATCAAAATATTCAACTTTTCTCAAGATTATTCAAAAGATTGTTGATACTGAGAGATATTATCTTCTTGTTTTTGTAGCATATCTGACTGTTGAATTTCACATTGAAGTCTTTCTGAAGCTTTTAGAGTACAATATTCTTTTCTTACAGACTGGTCAGTTATCTCAGAAACACTAAAAGATACAAGATATCTTCAATAACTCTACCAGTAATATTGAAATTCTTGTGGTGACTTATAGTACTTGCTCACTTGACATTAATATTTACCACTATTGCTTAGATATTGTCATAATTAAACTAGCAATTAATATGAATACAACTCTTCAGGCCATGAATAGAGTCTACTGCCTCAGTCAGACACAAAAACAGCAGATTTAAATTCTCCATGATGTAAATATCTTTGATTGTTTTGTTGAGTTTAATCAGATAAATAAAATGATCTCTCAAATTATTGGCATGACACAGGATTTCTTTAGTAATCTTAAGAATGAACTAGCTGTATGACTAGATGAATCTTCAGAGAATGCAGACATCTTTATTAATGCTGAGGCAGAGAATAATACTGAGACAAAGAATAATACTGTAGCAAATAAGAGTGAGAACATTGTATATAAATGAGTGAATAACTTCTATTGTGAAATATTTGAACAGACTTGCTTGTGATTAGAATACTCAGACATAATGGACCTGGGCTTAGATAATCTAATACTGCAAAAGATCTGGTGAATGCTTAGCTTACTTTTATTGAAGAAGTTAGTGATAACCAGCAAAGCAGTCCTTGTAATACAATCACCAGTTAAGTAGTTGACTACAGAACCTGAGAACTCTATTACAGTGTCTTTGAAAACAAATACAGATCTGCCTCTACAAGATTCTGCCTGTTCAGTAGGTTCAAGCTTGCAAGAACCTTTACAAAATTATCTATTATCTGAAAGAGTCCCCATGCTGGGTACACCATCACTCATTATGCCTGAGAAATACATGAATCTTGATGAATTATTCTTAACAGATCTGAGCAACTTGCTGTGTTTGACTGGAGACAAAATAAATGATGGGAACAAGAAGAATGAGAAACTGGATAGTAGCAGAAAGCAAAAAATTCCAGTTTGCATATAGTCTCTATATAGCATCAAATGATTAAGAGTTTCTGAGAATTTATGATATTTTACAGTTTGATTTGTTACTCACAACTAAATTAAATCTTAGTGAGTTTCTTACAAAAATAAAAATGTTTGCCTTATATTTAATTGTGTAAAGTCAGAACTTCAAGTAGCTAAGAGTACAAAGTACTGACAGGAGTGACAGCTTGGCCCAGTGAGTAAAAGAAATGATTAAAGAATAATTTGGTGAAGCCCAGCAGGCCCAGGGCTATCACAAGTAGAAAAACTTGTCCAGAGCAAATCTGGAGCAACAAGAAAATCAAAAATGTGGCCTGAAGCAAAGCCAGAACAATTATATGGTGCCAAGAGCACTAAGACTGTCCACAGCATGAAAAATTAGACTAAAATTTGTGGGGCATGGGGGGCCTGATCAGGATTTGCTGATGTATTCTTACAAATATTACTTCAAGATTTGGTTTAATTATTCTGTCTGTCCATCTGTTTGTAAATGGTAGGCTGTTGATATTTTTTGTTCAATTTCCAGTTGTACTATTAATGTTATTCAGAATTTGCTTGTGAATCTGATATCTTGATCTGTAATTATCTCTTCTAGCATTTTATAGTTGGCAAGTACATTTTATAGTACTACTATTGCTATGTCTGGTGCTATTATTGTCTCTCTGAATGGTATAAAGTATCCATATTTTGTTAATTGATTAGTGATTACTAGTATTAAGTTATACTTCTTCTCTTTCATATTCTTTAAGTTTGGAAGTTTTATGATGAAGTCCATTGCTATAAACTTTCATAGTTCTTACAGTTATAGTATTGGTTGCAGTTTTTCATATAGTTAGTGTTTGCTGGCTTTGCTTTGTACACACATCTTACATTCTTTAACATGTTGTTGAATATCTGTTCACATTTCTGGCCAATAGTAAGTTCTTGTAATTTTCTCCATTATCTTGTTGGTTCTAAAATGTTTTGTAGTGATTGTGTCATGTTCTTGTATCATTACTTGTTTTCTGACCTTTTTGAGTATATATATCAGTTTATAATATAGTATCATTTCATCTTCTTTCTTAAAGTTTTCATTTTCTTTATTAATCTTTCTTGTGTATTTGTCTTTCTTTATTACTTTTTTAATTTTTTCTTTAATGTCTGATTCTTCTGTAATGATTCTTGTTACTCTTAATATCTGTTGATTTAGAACTATATTCTTTGTTTCTTTTAATTTTTTAAAGAATGTTCTTGAATCTTGTTCTTTTTTCATCAGATCTGATCTTTAACTTAGTGTATTCATCTAGGCATTCTCTATATCTTTGCAGTATCTTATCTTGAAGTTGTAGTGTACTAGTATATCTGCATATCATCTAGCTTGTCTTCTTGTAAGCTCTTTTGTTGTTATAAAGTATTACAGATTGTTATGATCTGAGATAATTTCTATCTGATGTTGGTTTTCTTGCAGTTTGATCTTTTATTTCTTCAGTAATACTACTATTGCTAGTAGTTTCTTGTTGTGAATATTATAGTTCTGTTTGACTAGTGTTATTGTTCTTGTGTAGCATGTAACTAATCTCAGTCTTTCTTGTTTGTCTGATTGTTGTAGTCTTTCTGCTATTATGCAATCTAATATATTCATGTCAATTACACATCTTTTTGTTGAATTGTAGTGCCTTCTCATTTCTTCTTTTCTGAATTTGTCTTTTATTACTTTAAATGCTTGTTAGCACTTTATTGTTCACTTGAATAGTTTGTCTTTCTTAAATAGCTGTATGAGTGGTCTTGCTTTCTTTGAAAATTCATGTATGAATTGTTAGTAGTAGTTCACTAGTCTGTAGAACATCTGCACTTCTCTGACTTCTTTTAATATCAGTTACTGTAGTATCTTATTGATTTTTCCTGATTTCATCTGTATTTCTTCTGTTGACATAATGTGTTCAAGATATCTGATTTCTTTCTTGTGAAAGTCATACTTTTTTAGTTTTGCTGGTAGATTATACTTCTGTAGTTTTTCTAGTACTTTCTTGACCTTTACAGTGTGATCCTTTCAGTCTTCTTTGGTGTATATAATTACATTATCAAGATATTTTGTTTCAGAATCTGTCTTTCATTTGTTGCCTTTTTTGATTTGTATCCAATAGTAGACATCTTTAATGTCAATTAGAGTAAATTATATTACTTCTTTTAATCTGTCTTGCACTTCCTCAATCAGTAGTATCAGATAATAATTTTTGACTGTAATGCTATTTAACTGTCTGTAATTCATATATAGTTGTAGAGTTCTGTCTTTCTTTAATGCAAACAGTATTGAGTATTCTGTCAGTAATATTGACTTTCTTATGTAATCTTTCTGAAGATTATTCTTAATATATTTCTTCACTTCAGCTGATTCTTTTTTGTTCAACCTGTATATTAGCAGTTTTATTAGTTGTTTTCCTTCTTGTAGCTTTATCTCATGATTTTAGAGTTCATGCTTTAGTAAGCTGTTGCTCCAATTTCTCTCTCTGAATATATTAATGTATTTTTAAAATTTTTTTAATAGAGTCTTTTTGATTTTTTTGTCCTGATTATTCTTTTGTACTTGCAGCTGTACTAAGTTGTTGAAATTCTTTGTAGTTTGATCTACTTTTTTATCATGAGTCAGATTTTTATTGGTCTTTTTAATGTTGATTAATTGTTTTTCACACAGTATCTTCTGATTAACCTAACTTATTACAGCTAGTATTTTGTCTAAGTTGTTTCTGAGTGTAAATCTTTAATCATGGCTTTCTGATTCAAGAGAGTATTTACAGTTTGTCAGCTTAATCTTTTCTTCTTACTAGTTAATTTCTGAATTGTGTTATTTCAATCAAGAGTATCCCAAGACTATATTATAGTTCTCTAAATTCATCACTTCAAAATACACTTGCCCATGATGTTGTTCTATCTTTATTCTGATAAAGTATATCTCTTCTTCAACTCTATTCAGAATTCCTCTTTCCAGTCTCAATAAGTAGTAGAGATATTTCTTCATTTACTTTATAATGTCAGGTTGTTCAGTAAATCTTCTGTTAATAAATAGTTCAGTCACTTCTGAATCTACTAAGACTATTGCACACTTTAATCTAAGTAAGATTATTATAATTCTGAGATAACAGATTTGTTCATTAATAACTAATAATCTTACTTGCTTATTTATGCTGCTTACAGACTCTTATTTATAACAGCTCACTCATTTCTCAAATCAACAAGAGTTATCTTGAATGCCTGATTATATATTATGCAATTTTTCTTGTTAGTACATTAGATTTTATGTATTCTTCACACATACTTGTTGTCTCTATATTCTATACAGATTTCACATTCTTCTAAATCATGCAAAAATCTTGCCATTTTCCAAAATTTCTTGTTTTTATGGAATTTGTATTAATATTTGTACTC